ATGTTGAAAAGAGCAATTAAATAAGAGTGCTTTTTCCTCTTTCTAAAGAGGTATATTCTTTAAGGAAAATACAAAAATTTCTTGAATGTATTGACTTTTGATATTTTTTAATTACTGTAGAACTTCTTTTATTGTAAATTAGTTTTTTGGCACGTGCGTTGTACGTGTATATCGAATCATGTTGAAAATTTACAAGATTTTTAAGTAAAAATTTAATATTAAAACTACAATCAACGAGTTAAAATTTAGTATAAATCTAGTACTGAAATCTCAAATCGGAGCTCGTAAAATGTAATTGATTTAGTAAAGAACATTTTAGTTCTCCAGGTTAGTCGGATCTCAAAATTGAAACTAAACACCGATTAAGAATAAAAAAAAGTTTAATACTTCAAAATGAACTTTATGAGGCGAATTCAAGTTGATCAAACCTCAAGACAAATATGAGCCTCATGAAAAGTTTTCATTAATAAAATTTCCCAAAATTTTCTATTGGAAAATTAATAATAGCATATCGAATCAACTGAAATATGCTCGAATTTGTTGTTGGAAAGTTGAAAAGACAAACTAGATAAATTTGATGTTATTGTATTTAACAGTTCTTTTTCCTTGTTAATAAAAGTCATTGTTGAAGTAAAATATTTAAATTTCTTGAATATATTAAGTTTTGATATTTCTAATAATTGTAAGACCTTATTTTACGACTAATTATTTTTTGACATGTGTGTTGTATGTGTATATCAAGTCAAGTTTGAAATATTTTCAAGCTTTTTAAAAGTTTTAGTTTTAGACCCACTCCCTCCCTCTCCTATGGACGTAGTCAAAATAACTCAATGTCTATGATCTGACCAAAGTCATTATTAAACTCCTTTTAACAAAAAAAAATAAAATTGAGGCTTAGAGCGTCTTTTATTTCCAAATCAAATCTCTACATAGGTTGGCCTAAAAAAGACCCAATCCATTAAAAGAAATAAAACAAAGCAAAACTAAAAGAAAAGCTAAAAATAAAATGAAATATCTAGAAGTGTGACAATAACACTTTTTTAAAACAGTTATCAGAGGGAAGATTAAGAGACGTTGGTGGCAGTGGCAACAACATCATCTTCAACTAATCTGGCTCCTCTACAAAGTTCTGCTACCTCACATAAACAAAGAATCTCACATCAAACAAGGCTTAGTAAGGATATAAATAAAGTATTTCTATCCTTACTAAGCCTTCAAATCCACTCTCTTGAAATACTTGAATCTAGTCTTGTGAGCTAATATTTTTACATAGATTATTCTTTGCATGCAACAAAGATCGATCTTTTTAAGCCAAAAATCTTGTGGTTTGGATGATGCAAAGGAAACCTCAAATAAAATCATTTTTTTCTTTTATAAATATAAATTTGATAAATTGAAATTCAAAAGATTTTATACTGCCATCAAAACTCAAATCCACAAAAAGATTAGTCACTATAATTTTTTTAGTACACTTCTTAAATTTCTCCTCTAATGAATATTCATAGCCTTCAACAGTATCTTTATATGTAAACTTGTTGTATATTAATTTAACACAACTATAGATAAAATATGTTGGTTTAACCCCACAAATTTTGATTTTATACCATATATAACAACTCAAAGTTCTTACCAAGTGCATGATATATTAATGATGATTTCAAATTAGTTAGACCTCTGGATAAATATGACACTCCGGATGAGAAACCAACAAAAAGAAATATTCTAGTTCATAATAATAGGGATATATAGCATCATATATATGTATATGTTCTACTAGTACATCTTTAACACTCATCAAATTTAAAAGTAATATTTATATATCTAGGTCAAGTACATAACTAAAGAAGTACTATATACTATATTATATAACTTTAGTCTTGTAATAATATTATTTCTTCTATAATAAGAACTATAATATAACTTTATCCTTTGATTTTCTTCTAAACTTTGTTAGAAATTTTCTCAACAAGGCTCTGAAGTATCTACTTTGTTAATGGCTTCTCTTAACATTCATCAAGCCCAGCTTCCATAAATTTTTTGCGATATTCTTCATTGTCGTCTGGAATTGTTATTCCCAATATCATCTTAGCAATCCCTATTGATCGAAGCTTTTTTGTTGCCTAGTAATCGAAAAAAGAAATTCTATAAAATAAAAGCACAGTTCACACATAAATAAATGTTATGTTGTTTGAATTTTTTAGAAAACATGCACGTGTGTTACACGTGTATATCGAGTCATGTCATATCATGCATAAAAAAAAAAATTGAGCAAACAATTACACATAAAATTAAGATTAAATTGTAATTAGTTAGGAATTAATCACCTCAATACCATCCATAATAGGTATAGTTGAGCTCATTAGGATTAAATTAAAACGCATTTGTGTTTTATCATGAATATTGAATGCCATAAATCCATTTCTTACTCCTAATGTCTCTGCTCCAAAATTTTGAAGACATAATATATATGAATTTTGAGATATATCATCATTCGCCACAATAAGTACACTTAATTTTTTCACCTCATTCAACTTTCTCTTACCCTTTGAAGATGAAGCACTTGAAGCGAGAAAAATAAAAATTAATTTAATTATAATTTATAATTTGCAATAAGAAAAACATAATATTTAACATAGTTCTAATTATATATGTAATATTGAATGAGAGAGTTTTGAAGAATACTTGAAAGCACATTATACTATAAAAATGATTTGATGCTCATTTAAATAGGAGTCTCATGGTAAGTTTTCATAAATAAAATTTGCCAAAATTTGCTATTGAAAATTAATAATAAGTAGCAAAATTGATTTAAATGAAATATGCTCAAATTTGTTGTGGAAAGTTTGAAAGAGCAATTGAATCAATTTGATGTTATTGCATTTAAGAGTTTTTTTGCACTTTATAAAAAGGAATTGTTGAAAGAAAGTATTCAAATTTCATGAATATATTTGACTTTTGACATTTTTAAGTATTGTAGACCTTTTTTCATAATAAATTAATTTTTGGCACGTGCGTTGTATGTGTATATCGAATCATGTCAAAAAATTTCAAGACCTTTTTTCTAATTTTGGTTTTAAGTAAAAATTTCATATTAAAACTACAATCAACCAGTTAAAATTAAGTATAAATCTAGTTTTGAAATCTCAAATCGGAGTTCATAAAATGGAACCGGTTTTAGTAAAGAATATTTTAGTTCTCCAGATAAGTCGGATCTCAAAACTTAGACTAAACACCGATTAAGAATAAAAAAATTTAATCCTTCAAAATGGACTTTCTGACGTGAAATCAAGTTAGTCAAACCTCAAGACAAATATGAGCCTCATGGAAAGTTTTCATTAATAATTTTTTTCAAAATTTGCTATTGGAAAATTAATAATAGCAAATTGAATTAAATGAAAATGATCAAATTTGTTGTTGGAAAGTTAAAAAGATAAACTAGATAAATTTGATGTTATTGTATTTAAGAGTCGATCTTTTTCCCTTTTTAAAAGAAACATTGTTGAAGCAAAATATTAATATTTCTTGAATATATTAAGTTCTGACATTTCTAATAATTGTGTGATCTTATTTTATAATAAATTAGTTTTTGACACATATGTTGCATGTGTATATTAAGTCAAATTTGAAATATTTTCAAGCCTTTTTAAAATTTTGATTTTACCCCTTCCCCCTCCCTCCCCATGGACGTACTCAAAATAAGTCGATGTCGACGACTTGACCAAAGTAACTATTAAACTCTTTTTTACAAAAAAAAAAAAGTTTGAAGCTTAGAGCGTCTTTTATTTCCAAATCAAATCTCTACATAGGCTGGCCTAAAAAAGACCCAGCCCATTATAAAACAAAGCAAAACTAAAAGAAAAGCTAAAAAATAAAATGAAATATTTAGAAGTGTGACAACAACACTTTTTTAAAACAGTTACCAGAGGAAAGATTAAGAGACATTGGTGGTGGCGGCAACGACATCATCTTTAGTTAATCTCCTCTACAAAGTACTATTACCTCGCATAAATAAAGAATCTCACATCAAGCAAATCGTTAACCTCCATGAGGTGTATAAGATGAAGTCAGTATGATGAGAAATGTTATAATGTTATCTTTTAGATTAAATTAACTATCAAATTAATATTGAATAAATAAGTATTTGAATGTTGTTATTTATGTTTTCTACCTAGCTTCTTTTATTTATTAATAGTAATTTTTGCATGCAGGTGTGTTGCACACGTATGTTGAGTCATGTCATATAAAACAAAACTTTGAATAAACATATTTTAAGTGATATTGAACTATGCTGCTCTAACATTTGAAAATGTTATCGTACTCGTATCGATTTCGCTAAACATATATTATTTTTAAAAACCTAACACATTTTTCAAGACTCATAATCATGTCTACTGCATCTTTGATACTCACCCAATTTGAAAGTAGTACTTGTGTATATATTTAGTCTTATAATAGGTGAGTTATTTCTTTTATATTATTGATACAAGATCATTTTATTCTTTATTTTGGTAATTTAGACTAAACAAATCATCACAAAAGAGTTCTCTATTTTCACAAAATGATGTCATAGCCTATTGAAATATTAAAACTACTAATCAACATGTTAAAAGTAAGTATTCTAACACTCGAATTTGAGTCTGGAGAATGAAGTCATCTTTAGTAAAAAAATATTTTAGCTCTATAGATTAATTGGATCGCTAAATAGAAATTGAACATTGAGTGAAAAATAAGAAAATAAAAATTGTATCCCTCAAAATAAACTTTCTGATTATTTCAAATTAGTCAGACCTCAAGATAGATATGAGACTCTGAATGAATAACCAACAAAACAAATATTCTAGTTCATAATAATAGTTGTATAGCATCAAAATCATATGTCTACTAGTACATCTTCAATACTCACCAAATTTGAAAATAATACTTGTATAGGTCAAGTACATGACTAAAGAACTATATTATATAACTTATCTTATAATAAGGTGATTTATTTTTCTATAATATTAAACTTTGTTGGAAACTTTCTCAACAAGACTCTGAAGTATTTCCTTTGTTAATGGCTTCTCATAGCATTCATCAAGTCCAGCATCCATAAATTCTTTGCGATATTCTTCATTGTCATCTGGAGTTGTTATTCCCACAATCATCGCAGTAATCCCCATTGATCGAAGCTTTTTTGTTGCCTAGTAATAAAAAAAACATTCAAAAAAATAAAAATATAGTTCTCGCATAGACAAACATTATGTTTGTTTGGATTTTTCAGAAAATATGCACGTGTGTTACACGTGTATATCGAGTTATGTCATATCATTAAAACAAACATTCGAGTAAACAATTAGACATAAAATTAAGAATAAATTATAATTAGTTAGGAATTAATTACCTCGATACCATCCATAATAGGCATAGTTGAGCTCATTAGGATTAAATCAAAACGCATTTGTGTTTTATCATGAATATTGAATGCCATAAATCCATTTCTTACTCCTAATGTCTCCACTCCAAAATTTTGAAGACATAATATATATGAATTTTGAGATATATCATCATCAGCCACAATAAGTACACTTAGCTTTTTCACCTCATTCAACTTTCTCTTTCCCTTTGAAGATGAAGCACATGAAGACATTTTTCTGCAAAAAAAAAAAAAGAGAAATTAATTTAATTGTACTTTATAATTGCAATAAAAAAACATAATTATTGAGCATAGTTCTCATTATTCACTAAACATATATGAAATTATTGAATGAGAGAGTTGAGTAAGTATACTTGAAAAATACTTGAAAGCACAATATACTATAAAAATGTTTTGATGGTCATTTAAATAGGAGTCTCATGGTAAGTTTTCATAAATAAAATTTGCCAAAATTTGCTATTGGAAATTAATAATAAGTAGCAAATTGAATTGAATGAAATATGCTCAAATTTGTTGTGGAAAGTTTGAAAGAGCAATTGGATCAATTTGATGTTATTGCATTTAAGAGTTTTTTCCTCTTTCTAAAGAGGAATTGTTGAAAGAAAGTATTTAAATTTCTTTAATATATTTGACGTTCGACATTTTTAATTATTGTAGGCCTTATTTTATGTTTTTTCCATTACAAATTATTGTAGACTTTTGACATTTTTTTTATTGCAAATTATTTTTTAATTATTGTAGACTTTTGACATTTTAAATTTTTTGACACGTGCGTGCGTTGTACGTGTATATCGAGTCATGTTGAAAAATTTCAAGATCTTTTTTTAAATTTTGGTTTTAGATCACCCACTCCCTCTTCCCTTTCCTTATGCACTAGGATCGGATATCTAGGGAGATGGAGGGTGTTCATCTTAACCCCTCAATTAAAATTTACATTTTATATATATATATATACCTTACTTACATTGCAAAAATATAGTCCAAATTTTACCTAACAAATCTTTAGCCCAAAGCTCAGTTAGGTATACAACAATTTACATCTTATATGCAATAATAGATAAAGCTTTCATACTTTATTTTTGCAAAATGTTGAAAACTTGATATACAATATTATTTACCCAATAAATAGTATATACAAAAGTATAAGAAATAATTGTACGTTCATATACAATAATATACAATCAGATACACTATTATACAAACAAAAAAAAATTGCTTTGTCTTTTTTCTTGAATCTAAGCACCAAATTCATCCAAAAACATTTTAAAACTACACAAAATAACCCAAAATTTTATATTTAGACTCCTCAATATATGTAATTGATCTTTGTTAACAATACTAACTTGAAACATAACTTATTTGTGAAAATTTAACTTGCAAACTTTGAAGCTTTCCGAACTTTAGCAATGTCTGAACAGCACTCCCATGTTGGGTTTATGAAAGAAAAATTAATAAGAATATGTTGTTACTTGTTAGTAATAGTGAAGTTTCATTATGAAGTAAGATGGAATATAAATAATTTTGATAAATAATTGAGATAAATTTTGGAAGAGAAATTCAGTCCCATTGAAAGTGAAGTAGTTGGATTTATTTAATTTTTCATAGTAGAAGGTAGAAAAAATAAGATATATATCTTTGATGTGAGTTTGTGAAAGAAAAATTAATAAGAATTTATTATCAGCAATGGTAGAATTTCATTATAGAATACAACTAAGTAATGTAACTTTATGAACCGCACTATAGTGTAATTATCTCTAGATTGGTTAAATATCCTATATACAATATTAGAGATTGAAATAGTGATTTATAGCCCCATAATATTTGGCAACTAAACAGCCCTTTAGTGTTCATATTTGAGGAAGGAAATTGATGGTTAAGTTAGATTCGATTTTTATTTTCTTCACCTGACAAATAGGTGTATTTCTTGCAATAATAGACAAAATTAAATAATAAAAGATGACTTACCAAAATTATTTAAATTACCAAAAACTTAAGATGTATAATTATTTTAATTTTTTTTATTAAGTGACTAAACGCTTTTTAACAGTGTGGAAACATGGGATGTTGGGTTTTCAACTATCACTTAAACAACCCACGATTATTATCCACATGGCACATGCTTAATTATCACTAATTATATTTAATTTTTAAGATAAATATAATTAATTAGCACTAATTATTGAAGGAGAATCTTAAAAAACAACAGATCCAAGATTTTAAGCTAGAACTGGTTATGGTATAGACTATTTATATACATTAAGTATTTTTTGAAAATATATATATAAATACAGAATTTGAGTTAAAGCTACTAACTTTTTTACCAAATTTGTAAATAAAGATGGCACAACCAAATATTCTCATTGAAATTATCACTGAAAAATGCATAGTATTCTCGGCCCAAAGATATTTTGATTGAATCAATGAAAAAAAATTTATATATCCGTATACGGCGCAACACGAAAATTTAGGATTCATAAGGAAGTATTATGATGTTTGGTACAATCATTAATATAGAAATCTAACCTTATTACAAGTCATAATTGGACAACTCACGCTAATGAAAAATTAATTCATATATATACAATTAATTTGACCTAAATATAGTATAAATTCTAAGAAGTAGTTGATTGAATTTGGCTTAGATCTAAATTGATTTTAATCATAAATTAGTTGATCATTATTTCCAATATTAAATATATTTTTTGTGTAACTAAAAATATATTATATAATCTACAAATGGATAGTCCCTAATTTAAATGTCATGTATGTGAGTTCATGTATAAATGAAGATTAATTTGTGGTCTTATTTCTTATATCCATATCATAATGAATTGAACAGTTATATTTATGAGGCACCAAATTCATCTCAAATTATTGATTCACCAAGGTTATTTTTAAAAATAAATAATAAAATTGTGTGTGTAATATATATATATATATCAGTTATGGGTAAATTTTGTTTTGGTCCTGGTGATATACTTCTCAACATATTTAACTTTAAATAAATTAAAATATGTATTTTTTAAACATTTATGTAGAAAATGTGTGATATTTAACTATTTGTATAACTATATTATCGTGAAATACTGAATAATAATATAAATTTAAATAGGATATTAGTGATTAAATTGTGGGAGAATTAGTAATTATGGTAAATTTGTGAATACTACAAGAAAAAGGGATTAAAATTGCATAATTTAATTAATTGAAGATTAAAAGTCTTATTTGTTTACCCTTAATAGAGGTTTGAATCTAAATGGTCATACTTTAGGTTACTAATTGCATTTGTTTACATTAAGATTTAAGCAATTATTCTTAATCATTAATATTTCAAAATAAAGATCTTATTATTAATATCGTTGAGTGATATTTTTGCATGGATAATTTATATCATCATTGTGTCCATAATTACCGGTCGTCACCACTAACTATCTTTGTCATCATAATCATACCATCATAACGATTAATCACCATCATTATCGCTAACCACCATTGTCACCACAACCATCATAACTAGTCACCACTACCCCCACCATCGTCACCACCATCATAACTAGCACTATTGCCAACTATTACCAACATCATCGTCAACCACCACACATTTTTCAGTCATCACCACCATTACCAATCGTCGCTATTGTGTCAATCGCTACAAATCTATCACCATCATTACTAGCCACTAACACCAACCATTACTTAACCACTAGCACCAAATATAAATATTTTATTTGAAGTGTAAATTTATTATATTTAAAACTAAATAGATTATACACATTCAAACAGTCATAATTATTTAGTATTCATATCTAGAAACAACATCTTAATCACTCAAATATACATTCAAATTCAAATATCTTAATCTTAATACATACAATAAACCTCAAATATGCTTTTAACATATAACTAAACGTCAATATTTTTTTAATAATATACATCTTGACCTTTACAAAAGTAGACAATAGCCGTTGGGGACCTAAATATATATTAATCATTGAGTTTTTTAAAGTTTTATTTTTTAAAACATAACTTGTAAAATACTCAATTGGCACATTTTGTTAAACTTGAAGCCCTTGTTTTATAAATAATGTCAAAATATCTGCCCCATAATATGGGCCCAAATGGACAAATCATTAATTTGTATTTATGACATTGTCAGAAAAAAAAAACTTTTATTGGAAAACGTAACCAACGGATAAAATTTCCATAGTATTGGACTATTGGTCAAAAATTCAGACTCAAAATTATTATTTTCTTTTATTAAGTTTATTATCCCCTACCCCACCCCCCACTAACTCCGCTAGAACGGCTAGAGTGACATTCAGAAATGCTTTTACAAATATGGTACATTATATTTGGGATATGATTCGAAATAGTTCCTTAAATATATTTTTGAACAGTTTGAATAGGCGTTTGAATATAGATTTGATTATACTTTAAAATAAAGATTTTAAGAATTAAAATTAAGAAAATAATATTTGAAAAACAACTATTTCACTGAAAAAAAAATTAAAGTTTTGTGAGTGAATTATTTTCTCATTACTTGAATAGCTCAGATTAAAAAAATTATCCAACACATAACTAAACAATGTGTTTAAAGTACTTTTTGGAAGATTTTTTTTTATGTCCAATAAACCCTTTGTAAATTTGTCAAAAGTGAACATTTATTTGTTTTTATCTAATGTTTAAAAAAATTCTATTCATTAAATTTGAGGAAAATTATGAAATTTTTTTAAAACAAAACTAACATAAAAGTGTTGCACCTCAAAAAATTACATCAAACTATAGAAACACAATATCCCCCCCCCCCCCCAAACCCAACCCCACCCAAAGCTCTTATAAAATTTAGCAAAGCGAAATTTGTTAAATTAAGACGGAGACTAAAAGTGCTCATATTAGACAAATTTAAAAGACTAAACTGTCAAGAAATATATTTAAGGGACTATTTTAAATCTACATTGAACATAAGTGACCATTTTTGTTATTTTCCCCAAAGTAGATGGCATCTTCCATTTTGTATATTTTCTATATATACACACATAATATACACACAAATTCCCATCAACTTGCCTGATAGTTGTCTGCACGACTACTCATTTTCTTCTTTTTTTTCAAACTTGAAGTCCAACAAGTAAGTTTGTTCACTTTGCAAATATTGTTTTCTTGATTAGCTGTGTTTTTTTTTTTTCAACATTTTGTATGTATATTAGTTGTAG